ACATTCAAAACCTGCCTGGACGTGTTCCTGTATGATCTAGGTGGTCCTGCTCCGGCAAGGGGGTTGGACTAGATGATCTTTCGAGGTCCCTTCCAACCCCTAATGTTCTGTGATTCTGTGAATGACGGAAACCAAATTTGTCAGAGTACCTCACTGGAGGGGAAATCACCCCGATCGCAGTGATTGGGTAAAGGGATGAGCAGCTGGCAGAACCATAAGCACAAATGCAGTAATTACATATGCATATAGAAAAATGTTTAGAATTGCCTCCCATAACTTAACCATACCATAGCTCCCTTATTAAAAAAAACAAACCAAACCATACCAAAACAAAACAAACAAAAAAAAAAAAAAAAGAAAAGAAAAAAAAGATCACCTCTGGATTTTCCTCCTTTTTCTTTTTGGTAGCAGGGGGTCCCTGAGCTGACTCTTCAGGAGGTTTCTTTGTTTCCACTTTACTTTCTGTCTGGGTTTGGACTTGAGGCTGAATAATGATAACCTAAAAGACAATGTACAAATAAAAGAAGAGAATTCACTATGTGAAACTGGATTTTTCTGCCTGAAACCTCTGATTCTTCTTTGAAGGGTTACTTGATACCCCTACAGACAACAAATGCAAGTCACAAGCCAAAAATATAAAAAACTGGATACCTACATTAGGCTTCTAAATCCATACTTAAGTTTCTAAAAATTAATTTTTATTGGTGCATTATAAACCTACTGCAACCTAAGGGAGTCACTTGATCAGTGCCTCTGAAAATTAGGACACTTTCTATTTAGAGGACTTCTGAAGCTGACTCAGCAGCTTAGCTTTAGCACTCATGTTGTTAGTGATTTTAAGGTCTTTCCTGTGATTTTATTCTGCATACAGGTAGAAAAGACAGAATTACTACACATTCAAAACCACAGTCTGATCTCAGTCATGCCAGTGTTATTTCAGAGCAAGTACCTGCGGATGGGATGGAAGACACTCCTCAGTACTACTCATGTAACCGAGATCAGAGTTCAGTCCTCAGCATTTATGTGTTATAAGCAGATGATGTCCAGTTTTGCATAAACAATATAAACTATGTGTTTTAAATTAAAATGAATTCTGGTTTGGAACCTATAGGAACTACTACACAGTTCTCTTATACATGCATGTATGTTAGTATATACAGCTGCTTGTATTTGAATTACCGCATGAAGATTTACACAGTACAGATAACATTATCTCAGAAATTAAAAGGAATGACAGACAATTTCTGACCACAGAACCACACATGTGACTTTATACCCATAATCAAAGCTTCACGAAGGACTATGGAAGACCTTCCTGAGCTCACCTTCTTGATGAAGGTTGTTGGATTCGAACGCTGGGCCTTTTCCATCTATTTCATTGCTAACTTTCAATCAATGTTGTTTAATTGTTAGATACTTTATCTCAACTCAGTCACTCTAGAAGATTCAAGAGCATAAAAAGGGATGGTTTTCTTAAACAGCAGACAGTTTAAGTACGAGAAAAATAAATTTTGCTACAGAAGTGGGGAAGAGATGCCTGCTTTTGTTTACCTCAAAAGCCACCCTACATCCTGTATTCTTTTTTAGCACTGTATGAAAACCTGTGCTGCTGCAGGATCCCAGTAGCAAACTTACAGTTAATGTCTGCTGAGTACATTGGCAGCCTTTATTGAATCTGTTTCTGGTAGAAGAGTGGTGAAGTTCTTGCATTTCAAAGCTGAAAAGCAGTACAAAGAGGAAACAAGTAATTCATAGCTTGATTTTTTTTCCTACTGATTCATCTGCTGATCAGTTTTGAAACCCTGAGCTCTCATTCCATTTGGTCTTTCCCTGAAAATGTAGAAGGGAATGCCTGATTACTTGATATACTCCCCTGGGGTTACTCGATAAAACTAGTATCGCTGTATAATTGAAGAGGGAGCCCACAGGATATTTGAGCCTGCACAGAATTCAGCGATATTATTAGTGAGGATTGGTTTAAGGAAATGGAAGATCATATGGTCCCATTAATGTCAAGCTACATAATGATGCATTTTGTTCACACTAAAGAATATGCTTGTACACAGATAAATGTCTACTAGTGTCCAGGTGTCCCCTTAAGAATTTTCCCATTGCTTTCTGATTATTTTCTTCAAAAGAAACCACTGACACCACTCTGCAGAGGGCTGTGCACTCCCAGGGGAACAGTCTGCTTACATCTGCAATGTAATTCCTGTGTTTGATAACCAAAAAAATAATGCCGTGAAAGGCAGAACTTACCTTGCTGTCAGCACTAATGAGGAGTGGTTGCACTTTAATGCTATCATTGACCACAGAGACAGTCGCGCTGGTGCTGATAGGAGTTGCATTGTTGGGGGAGGTGGAAATGATGGCGTACGCCACACCTGCACTGCTCAGAGGTGACGAAATAGCTGTAGACTCGGTGACACTTTGTGACTGGCTGTTAGGCGTCTGTACATGGCTGACGGTATTGTTGGCAGTTGGGAGGGCAGGGCTGGGGTTTTTGATGCTGACTACAGTTGCCTTCTGGAAGGTAGGAGGCTGCTTGGAAGGTTGGTCTCTGCACGGGGAGATAGGGAGGCTGTCTGGAATCAGGGTCTTTGGCCTAACCTACAAATAGAGAGTTAGATATTAGTAGGCACAGCCTCACACTGTAATGAACAAACACTGCATACATGCACTCTCCCAGTAGAATCTCTAATTGCATTAACCATGGAACAGAAGCATCTAGAAAAACATAATGTGGCAACTCGAAGTAGCCATCCATTCATTTACTTGTAGATATATTCCCAGCGCTCCTCAGTTGGGTCATTTTGGAATCCTTAACTCATTGCAGTGCTGAACAAGAAGGGAGAAAAAAGTAATTCCTCACTTTTATTAGCCATACAAATGCTATTCAGGTCATATCCAGTTCTCTGTAGAATGTTTAAGTCAAAGCCTTTGGAAAGAATGGAAACCCCAGACACAATGATTTCCTGTGCTGAAGGACACAACATTCTTGCTATGAACTAAGGAATAGGAACCAAATCATTAAGGGAGTTGTGGGAAAGCACTTACAGGAACAGTAAGTGTATGCATTTATACTTGTGGATCAGTGAATGAAGATCCTCACATTTTTAAGATACGCCATGTCTAAAGGAGAGGAGATCAATCACATAATCAGCTCAACAAAAAAAAAAAAAAAAAAAAAAAGAGAGGGAAAGAAAAGAAGCGCACAACCATTGAACTTCGTATTTTGTCGCTGTAAGTGAAAAGCTAGTTTGCAGCTGCAGTTGGATGCAGAGGGAATTTCCATGGATGGAGAGGGAAATGGTTTGCCAAGATTTGCAAAGGCTGCAGCTTTACCCAGAGCCATGAATGATAGCTGCAAACAATTGTTTTCAGCTAATGTGATGTGTTTCCAGTGGCGTAATTAACGTCACCCTGTCAACACAGCTCTGCCTTAACAACACGTTAAGTACAGTTCCAGGATTGAAAATAAATAATTTAAACTGCTTCACATGAAGTTAACTTCACTCCCAGCTTATTCGTTAACACGGCCAGATAAAACAGTCGGTTCCCTCTGTGCTTATTTAGTCCTGTCACTTCTCGCACCTTCCATACTGTGAAACAAAATGACAAGTTGTAACAGACAGACACGGGAAACAGCTGCCTGTGTCACTGCACTGTAGTCTACAGGAGCCCTTCCAATGATGCTGACTTCTATCTTGAGCCTAAGTAAGCAATTTAATGAAAACACCGGGATTTACTGATGTGCAGAAAAATCATCTCTCAAGGCTGACCTCATCCTCTATTGCATCAAGGAGGAGCCGTACCCATTTGTCCCCACACTGAATATTAAGCGCAGCAACACAAGTGTCGTGAGCTCTTTGTGTTTTGATAACTCGGCCCTCGATTGCCGATAGGATCCTAACACCTACAACCAGCGCAAATGTGTATTAGAGGCACAGTCCTGCTCGGGAGTGTCTCAACTGTCAGTAACCAAGGGAGATGGAAAGAGAGCCAAAGAAGAGCAAAGAGAAGGGTTTGCCCGAGGTCCTGCAGCAGACTCGTGACAAAGCCAGGAAGCTGCCGTGTTCAGCTCACAACTTTGGGGTAACGCTGGAAGGCCTCATAGGCCCACCGTGAAATGATGCAAAGCTATGCTAAACTGTTATTAACCATATATAAGATACAGTGACAGTAACTGAAAGGGTTTTTACTCTTTTTCATCTATTCAATCACTTTATGTAATGATTATTCTTAAATATTTAGTTAAGATACCAAATACCCTGGCCAAGTTTTTTAAGAGAGGAGTCTATAATTAGCTTCATAGCTATAATTAGTTATTGGTCCTATTTTCAAAAGCAGTGCACAGAGGATTGGTTTAAGCCTATCTTGGCCCAGGCACTCTGCAAAACTAAGGCTTCTAACATGAACAACAGCTCAATGCAATAGGAGGCACGATACTTACAGCAACGTGTTCATGTCTGTATCAGAGTCAGTTATACAAGTAGGTCTTGTAATATCTACTTTTATATTTCCCTAATAACATCCTTTCCTTCCTAACTTATATAAGTCTCTCATATGTAAGCCTTCAACAAATTGCTCATGCTTATGTTCTCAGAGACACATTCACAGAAATAGTATCATTATTCAGAAAAGAAAGTCTGAGAAGCTTGGCAAAATACAGTTAAAATGTATTACCATGGTTAAAAAAATCCAAATTTATTTCTTAGCTGTTTGGCTAACATCTAAATTTTACCACCTCTCCTTAAAACAAAATAATTTTCTTTTAAATTAATATAACATCTGTTACCAACAGAAATACTGTAAACACACAGATAAGCACATATATATATATATATATATACACACACAGAGAAAGAGAGAGAGAGAGAATAAGGTGTAGCTCAGATCAAAGATTCAATAGAACAGTCACTGAGATCTTTAGAAAAAATCAAGTCTGACAAAAAATCAACTCAGGAGTTTTTCTAGCCAAAAACTGTCATGTAGTCTACCAGGATCTACTGTATCTGTCACTCTTAATTGCACTTTTATATTTAATCAAAAGCCTAATTAAAACTAAATGCCTACATATATTCCAGTTACATAATTATCTTTTCTACACTATTACATATATATATTGAGTGTTAGATGTAATACCTCAATGAATCCTACACACACCCTTAATACACATTCTGTCAGTTGTGGATGAATGCATATTACTTTGCTATAAAACAAGCTCTTCCTGCACAGACAATTAAACAGACCTAATTTTCCAAAGTAACATATTCTCTATAAAGCGCTGCATACTGAAATATCTGATACGATTTACCAAATCGGTACAGCACAAGAACATATGCCAGGCGTTTTCTGCCACCGTGTGACACAAAGGAGGTATAGCGGTCTTCATAATCAGCCTCTGCAAATTCCCTGGCAAGTTCAGCTGACATTGTGAGAGCATATTTATTTGCAAGTATAGAATAATAAAAAGGGTTGACTACAGAAAAAGTTTCAGGTGCTCCTGAGTTAAAAGTAAAATAAGTTAAAGTGAAAATAATGTTTATTTCTACAGCTCACAGGCATGAACCCAAACCAGAAAGCAAGCATAGAAGCCCCTTGTGCTCTAATACCTATGAATATTGCCCTCTTGAATATAAACACTAAGCATAAGCACTTAATAAACTGCTAAATGAAAGACCTTTAGCAGAGTTTCACATTAAGACCAAACTGCTACAGTAATCTGTATGAAGAAATGGTGTCAGCTGGGAAGAAAAAAAATGAAGGAAAGAACTAGCATAAATTCCTTTTCCTCACAGCAAAACTGTAGCTTAAATTTGGGAGATGAAAGGAGGACAGTGGCACTAGCAGAAGTTTGGAAGTTGACAGTCACTGAAGAACTGGAGAAAAACTAGGGCAGGGCACTGACTGCATTTCACATGCCAGGTATCAAGAAGACATTTTCTACTGAAAGTAGCACAGGTTGGATGGCACCGGCCCCCATTGCAAGAGTCACAGAAATAAAAGGTGCAAAAGTTTAGCAAAGGAGAAGCAAAAGAATAACAGACAGCATGTATGTTACCACGTGAAAACTGTAACTGTTGGCGAGCGCTGCAAATAACGATTCTCCTGTAGCTCAACCTTCTTCTCCCCAAATATCTTTCATTTAACTTCTGACAGCTGTCAAAACAGAATGTGATACTACCAGGGCTCTAAACGCAGGAGAAGAGAAAGCTTCTCCTTGAATATAATGATTTCACAAACCAGTGGTGTTCTTGAGTTTCCTCAATATCCGCAATGACAGAAACATTTGATTTTTAGGTGGCAATATTCAGACACCCCTGGTATTTCTCGAATAGCCTGCAGGTGAGCACACTGTTCAAGAAGATACCCCCAGATGTGAGAATTCACTAGGTGGGGGCTGTCTGCTTTTCAGACATGGAAATAACAGGGAGCCCAATCCTGTGAGACGTGCAGAGTACTCTTTTGTTCAGCAACCTCTAATTTCATATATTTTAAAGAGTTTCAGATCAGGAGGGAACCAGCTCCTGTGACTAATATGGCTTCTTGTATATCCCATGTCATTAAGCTCCATCCAGATGTCCCTATATGAAGCCCAAAGGCTTCCATTACACT